CACCAACCCCCCCTCGGTCGCTTCGCTCCCTCGCCGTGATACTGCTCCCTCATGTCAAATTTTTCTAGAAAAACCCCTGAATACATATATTTTATGTATTACGTAGTCATCTTTGTCCTCATAATTGAAATAAACCTTGCTTTTGCATACTACTGACATTTTGAAACAGTGGACAACCTGAGGGCATGACAGCTATACCCACACACTTGAAACTACATGTAACATTATGTAGCACCACACACATACGTTATACAAAGTTCATTTTCCTGTTGTTGGGAAGACATCCTTGATTAGAAATTTATTAAGGAGACTACGACGATATTCTCACCTGCATTTATTTCTTGGTTTGTGAAAAGAGTCAAGTACATGTAAATAACTTATGAATAAATTGTCACGATTTCCATTTGTTAGTTTGCCTTGGTTCAGAAAAGGTTAGTTTTGTGACAGATTAGAAGCCAGATGATGCAGGAATTTCATCAATAATTCTTACTTTAGAATCTTAGAAATTTTGGTTGTGAATAAAGATGCCAGTTTCTCCATGTTGCCATGAATGTGTGATGTTGAAAAAAAATAAAGGGAGCCACTCCCCCCTAAAGTCTCGATGGCATGTTCCTATCACCTCACAGCTGATTCGCCGAGGCCGTCGCCATGGACGCCGGGCGCGGAGGCGGGACGATGATGTCACCGCCGCAGCGGTTCTTCTACATGCCGCGGTTCCAGTACAACCAGAACCAGACGTACCACGGGTACTACCGCAGGTTCCAGCCCCGCATGCAGCACGCAGACACACGGGACGGCGTAACGTTCGACGGGAAACGCATGCGGAAATCCATCCAGCGGAAAACCATCGACTACAACCCCTCCATCATTCAACATCTAGAGGTGTGCAAAATGGTCCCTTTGCTACAAAAGTTACATGACTTGTGCTGTAGTTGTTGCTTTAGTTTTCAGGCTTTGAAATTACAAATTTTTGAAGCAAAAATCTGTTGCCATACACATAATAGATCTAGAAGTTGGAAGTTACAAGTGTACAAAATGTTACATGTTACCGTTATGTTTCTCGTGTATTGAAATTAAAATTTAGTTTTGAAAAAAAATTATTCCTGTTGCCATACATATCCAGCATCTAGAGGTTGCAAGACAAATTCAGCCTTGATGGCAAACATTCTATAGCGTGAAATAAAACGATTCCACTGTCCAGTGTCACTCTGAGAACCAACAAATTAGTCTGAATGGTTTATTTGGGATAAAATCACCTGCAGCATATTGGATTATATTCATGACAGTTGTTTTAAAAACTGGAAAGTAATTGTGAAATGTAATATAATCATATACCAGGTCAACACTATGATATCACTTTGAAGTTTTAGATCATATTTAGAACCATATAGGGGTCAAAATCTATGTTCTTGGACATACTGGAACTATCCAGAACCATGCCTAATCCTAGTCCTGACCCATTCAGTCATAGAACTGAGAACGGTTCTGGAAACAATAGGAGACGTTTTAGCTGAGCTTGACTAATCTGTAACAAACCACCCCAGACGCGGATATGGCAGCGGGACACACGAGACGTCCGACCTCCACAGCCCGACGCCGCGTACAGTCTGCAGCTGGTCCCCCCCATGGCCATGATGGAACAGCCCATGAACAGCGTCACCACCAAGTTTGTCCGCACCTCCACAAACAAGATCAGATGTCCCATCTTTGTGGTCAGGGTAAGTACTAGTGCCCCCCTCCCCCACACAAACACATACACAAACAAGATCAGATGTCCTATCTTTGTGGTCAGGGTAAGTACTAGTGCCCCCCTCCCCCACACAAACACATACACAAACAAGATCAGATGTCCTATCTTTGTGGTCAGGGTAAGTACTAGTGCCCCCCTCCCCCCAACACATAAATGATTGTACACATACAATGTACATATCCACATGTATGTACATGCACACATACTGGTCAGTACGTACAAATGTACATAGCACACACAGACACATTGCACACACACATGTACATACATAGACATACACAATACAAATACACACATACATACATGTATGATGTAATCTCCCCTCCCCAATACCTGTTACAACTGTTACTCACTTCAGTAATACACATACAGAAATATAGAAATGCCCTGGCAGCCCCTGTATGCTGCAGTTGCTGCCATTTTGTCAAGAAAAAAGCTGAAGACACCTATGGTGTATAACCAACTTGATTTGGGTTCAATAAGCATCTTGCTGAAATCTTAAATTTCTAGATCTCTCCTGGTCTACAGAAAGATAGACCAAACTGAAGCAACAGGATCTCCGTTGGTTAATCACAACCCTGTATATTTTACTATCCAGTGGACTCCTGAAGGTAGGAGGTTGGTGACTGGAGCCTCCAGTGGTGAGTTCACCCTTTGGAACGGACTGGCCTTCAACTTTGAGACCATTCTACAGGTAAGCCTTTAGAATCCCATGAATTTTATCTTTTCAGGCCATTTTGAAGCACATTTCTGAAAAGAACCAACAAACTTGTCCATTGCAGTCAAACCACTTGAGACTGCTTGTCAATGTGATGCCCAGATAGGGGTGTTTTTTGTGGTTGTTAAAGCCTGACCACAAAGTTGGTAGCTTGTTGCATGTGAGGTTCGTTTGTTTGATGGTTTGAATGTTCTCCATGTTATTGAACATAATACACTGTGCCCGTTGATGTTTCCCCAGGCCCATGACACAGCAGTTCGTGCGATGTCCTGGAGCCATAATGACCAGTGGATGGTGACTGCCGACCATGCAGGGTTTGTCAAGTACTGGCAGTCCAACATGAACAACGTCAAGATGTTTCAGGCTCACAAGGAGGCCGTCAGGGAAGTCAGGTAGGAGTCTAACAGGAACTGTAGGGAAAATAACTCATGTTTGATATGTTTTAATGTAAATTCATTCATTGCAATGCAGTTATTGTAAAAGCGCATTCTACAGCATCAAAACCTTGTCTTGTCACTTTCCATTTAAAAAAATGACCACAGAAGCTCTGAAAAAGTAGCTATTTTGCTGAAAACCATGGATGCCAACAATTGCTCAGACGTCTATGTCCCATTTAAAAATCAAGACCACAGCATGTCCACAACACGAGACATGTTTCATACCATGTACCCTGCTGCAGTACCTTACAAAATCACTAGAGTACCCAAACTACATACTAAATACAAAGATACATGCACCACACTCCCAAGTTATACCTGATTAAAAATCACCTAACCACATATATGGTGTATCTCCACACATAACCTTCTGACTAAGGTAAACATTGTGTTATGACATATTTTTGGCTAGCTTGACCAACGCATGTTGCATTTCTGTTGTTTCTAAAGTGTCTCCCTACCTTCTCTCTCCAGTTTCTGCCCCACAGACAACAAGTTTGCGACCTGTTCAGATGACAGCACCGTGCGCATCTGGGACTTCATGAGGTGTCATGAGGAGAGAATACTCAGAGGTACAGTCAGTTCTTTCCTAAAATATGTCTGCAGTTACAATATGTACATGTACTAGTCCAGATATCCAGGCCTCACGTTACTAGTATGTACATGTAATACAAAATTCATGTAAACCAAGTGACAGGATATATTCTCTTAGGAGTCAACATTTTAGGTAGCGTCTGCTATCTTTCATGAGTGGCTGAGAATGAGAGCCTGCCCCTGGTCATTAGATATATGCCTGTACCATTCAATTATGGCTGTTCCTATCAAATAACTTGGGTCTGACTTGTGTTATCCCCCAGGCCATGGAGCAGATGTGAAGACAGTAGACTGGCACCCTCAGAAGGGTCTACTGGCCTCAGGAAGTAAAGACAGCCAGCAGCCTGTCAAGATCTGGGACCCAAAAACTGGACAAAGTCTGGCCACACTGTGAGTACCCTGGCTGTTTCTGGATTTATATCAACACTGGATATACATGATTGTCCATGAAAGTGTACTGGGACTTTGACAGATGTATTGAAAATTTAAAGTAAAATGTTGAAGAAACTGTTTAAAAATTAGGCAGACTGAGGGCCTGGTCACACTATTTGTTTCATGACTGATGTGTTCAGTTATTAGCAACCCAGTTTCAGAGGCAACAGGGGTAGGGTTCAGACCTGGACCTGTTTGCTAAAGAATATAGGTAAGATAGCTGTACTCATAGAAACAGTCACTGGCTGCAGTACACTCATTGACTCAATCATTCACTCACATTTGTTCATTCATTCATTTAAACACCTACTCATTCATTCACTCTTTGGGTCATTCCTTCATTCATTCACATACCCATTCCTTTATCCATTCATTCATACCTCCATTCATACCACCATTCATTTCTACATCCATTCCTTCCTTCCTTTCTTCCTTGATCCATTTATCTTTCCATCTATTCCACCTGTGTTTGTCCCTGTATCCCCCCAGACATGCCCATAAGAGCACGGTGATGGAGGTGAAGTTTAACCAGAACGGGAACTGGCTGCTGACGGCGTCTCGGGACCACCTGGTGAAGGTGTTCGACATTCGCACCATGAGGGAGATGCAGAGCTTCAGGGGGCACAAGAAGGAGGCTACAGGTGGGTCAGGGGCATGGAGGGCCGGGAACATTTCATTTGGTTGGGTCGTGGGTAGATGGCTCAGGCATATTTTGGGTGTTTGTGGATCCTATCCAAGGTCAGATGATTTAAAAGACTTTATGAATTGTTACATACTGTTATGCCTGCTCAGCATTCAGCATTGGTGAGAAAAGTATTTGAAATGAACACTCACCAGTCAACAAGTACTGGTGGACTAGGAACCTTATTCTTAGCCAACTCCCTGCCATATGATATGAAAGAAGTTAGGTAATGTATGCAAGAAGTCTCGCTATAATCGCTTTTTTTCGTCCGCAGCGGTGGCCTGGCATCCCATCCACGAGAGTCTCTTTGCCAGTGGCGGCTCAGAAGGATCCATACTGTTCTGGCAAGTCGGGTGAGTTGGGCATGCTTTCAAAGATAGACAAGACTAGTACATGTTTATTTGAGGTGATATTCTGCTCTTCTTGTGTATACAGGATAGTAAAACCCTTACAAGTCTGCAGAGAATTTCTAGCCAAAAGGCTACTTCAGTGTACTGAAGTAAAGATTAAATCAAAAAGCTTTTATGAAGGCAGCTTGCAGGCATGTTTGGATATACACTCTCTAACATGTTTTTACATTATCTAAATAGAGATAGTTATTTCCATTTCTGCAAATAGAATGTACAGTCTACAAATGTATGGAAAAACTATCTGCCTCCTCTGCAATGACAGCTAAGGCAAAGGAAATGAATAGGACAAATCTGCATGTCTTTCCAGATTTCAAGTGCCAATCAAACAGTTTTTGTATGAATACATTCTACTCTCTCCTCAGCAATGACAAGGAGGTTGGAGGGATGGAGAATGCCCATGAGGGAATGATCTGGTCGCTGGCCTGGCACCCACTGGGACATATCCTCTGTTCTGGGTCCAATGACCACAGCACGTGAGTTTGGCACTTCTGTAATGATAATGATGAGGCAAAGGTGGTAATGATGTGGCTGGCATTCTGGGTCCAATGACCACAGCATGTATTTGGCACTTCTGTAATGGTAATGATGATTGTGATAAACTATGGTAATAGTGATGAGGAGGGCACTGACCGTGACACATCTTGTGAGCTTTCTTGCACATAAAATCATATTTTTACTTGTTGCAGATAGGATAGCGTTGTTTCATTCTTTATAGCATCTTCTGTGAGTTCTGTGGAAATCAAATCTAGCAATTGGATAAATTCTCTGAAGAGACAGACATTTCAGATGGCACCAACAGTCTTTTACCTGTGCCTGGTGAAATTTAGAGGATTCTCTGAGTCACTGATGAAAGATAGTGGAAAATTACTACAATGTATCTGAAATGTCTTGCTTCTATGTATGTGTGACTACGTAAGGTTCTATACGTGGATGGCTAACCTTCATCAACGCCATTTGTACTGGTTTAATGGCTGCAACATGACATAATGCTAGGACTAACCAACTAATCAAAGGCCAGTAAATGGATGGCATTGGAGACAGTAGTTGTGTTTAAATCATGGCTGGCTCCTGTGTTACAGTAAGTTCTGGTCTCGGAACCGTCCCGGGGACCAGATGAAGGACCGGTACAACCTGAACCTACCGGCAGGCAGTGGTGGGGAGGACGGCATGGAGGGTAGGTTTTACAATCCAAACTTTTGTGTGTTTCTTTCAGTATATGATATATTTTTTTTACATCAATTTTCACCTCAAAACAAGGCTCATATGAACCACTTACATGTTTTGGGTTACATCAGGAAACTGTGAAGACAGGTGTTTGCTTGAGAGCGTTAAAAAGCGCCAAAATTGGCGGTATGCTGCTCCGGGTAAATAAATAAAATGAAATGAAATAAATTCCTGGATACCACATGTATTTATTACACGTAAATACACTTCGAGGAAGAATATTACATCTGAGCTGTGTGTGTCCTTGTGTGCTCAACCTTTTCATTCCACAGTGTCTGTTGATACAAGGTAGTGGTGTTTTTTTTTTTTCAGAGCTGAAACACAAAAAGTTTGGGCTATCATAGCCAGTTCTTCTGTCAAAGTCTACCGTGTTTATTGTTGCTAAGTGTTGTTTGTTTGTTTGTTTGTTTGTTGTGTACAGAGATGGAGACAGCAGAAGCTCCGAGCACGGCAGCTATCCCAGGAATGGGCCTGGAACATGGACTGCCTGAACACCTCAAGAAACCAGGTGGGACTTCTTTAGAATGTGTGTCAGATAAGGGTGTGTTAACCTTTAGCACACTGAAGTAGCCAATTCTGAAGTAATTATGGTGTTAGGGAAAGTTGAAAGAAGGCTGGTTAACAGCAAAATTTTAAGTACAGGTTGAAAAGAATTATTGTGCCATTCTCAAAGTTTGAGCAAGCTAACATATACAAATGAACCTGTTTTCTGATAAAGGAAATGTAGACTGGTAGACCTGTGTGACCACAAAGAAATATAGTATTGTTTTTATTGGCTCAGAGTTACAAAACTGTTTTGCAGCTAAAAGTAATCTTTATTGCATATGACCTAAATATGACATTTGAAAATTTGTTTCTTACTTTTGTGCAGAGGAGCCAAAAGAGGAGGCAGCTGATATTTCAATCCCTGGTCTGGACTTCAGCTCTGAAGAAATGAAAATCCTGGAGATGAGAAGGGTACAGTAATAGTTTTCTTCATGCTTCTTGCTTTAATTTCGTACATGCATGTAGCATCTTATTCCTGTCTCAGTTTTAATGTTTGTGAGCTGTTTTTATGTTGTGAAAACTTTTTAGAATTATAGATTTGATTTTGCAATGTGTGATACTACATTGATTTTTTAAAAATGCTTTAAATTAAACATATTGTTTATCTCCTGATAGAAAAGATGGGACCTGTTTTTGCCTCACCTATCACATTCACACATTTCACATTACATATTTTGGAATTGAAGTGTGATCTTTATCAACTTGATGTTACTTATCTCCTCCCTACAGCTGTGGTACAAATTCAAATTCACCTGACATATGTTTTATCCTTTTATCCAGTGTTGTTTTAAAACGTTGAAGCCTCAGATCTTGACCTTGATCTTGACTTCTCTCTACAGTTGCCACAGAAGAAGGTTCCGTACTCCAAGCCAATCCCAGCCCAGTTCCAGGAACAGTGGGAGAAGGAGAAGCCGACTTTGCCCACACTACTGTCTCAGGCACAGGACAACAAGGTGAAAATGTAGTAACCACAATCAGCCTATGTTGCATTCAGTCTCCAGCAGACTACTAGTAACTACCCAGTAGGGGGAGTAATTTACAGTCGTAGGGTTTCATTTCCCTGTTGTAAGTGGTAATTGTACACTTACTGTTCCCATTTCCTTGCCAGATGTTCACCCTTTCTTTTGCCAAATTCTGTACAATGTAATGTATTACCCCTTAGAAAGGCCAGGTGGAGGCTGGTCTTAACTGCCTCCACAATGCTCATGTGACATCTACCTGTAAAAACAAACATTTTGAGTGACCCACCTGTTTTTGACCTGTGACCTTTCTGTTTGACCTGGCAACTTCTGTTTGACCTGTGACCTTTCTGTTTGACCCCCAGGGTAAGGCTGGCATTGACACCCCGGTGACCTCTGCCCCCTCGTCTGAGCAGGCCAAGACTAATGCCCAGATGCACCAGGAGATGATGAAGATGAGATTCACCAACCCTGCAACACTCGAGGTGCGGAGGAGCTTTTCTTTAGTCCTGTTTTTTTTGGGGGGGGGGTATGTTGATATAGCTTCACTGTTAGAAGATAGCATCCTTTCTATTGTATGAGCAGAAATTTCAGAAAATAATTTTTGGAATGATGAATTTTTGGGGTAAAAAAGCAACAAGTTAGGTTTTGCTTGTATGTTTTCCTGATTAGCCAAATTTATGGCAACTTTGCAGCAGTTTACATGTAGGTGCTTCCCTTGTCTGTAAGTGGTGAAGAATATAATTTTTGTTTTATTTCAGGCCATCGCAAATGCAACGAATCAGCCTCAGGGCCCGCGGGGTCCAAATCCCATGAACCAGCAGCAGGGTCCACGGATGGGCCAGCAGAGGTTTGGCCCTCCCATGGGCTTTGGGCAGGGGCCACAGTCTGGCATGGCCCGACCCATGGGGCCACGTCACATGGGGCCTAACCAAGGCCCACCAGGCCACATGATGGGGCCGGGCAATCAGGGCAGGTCTGGACACATGGGTGGGCCCCGGGGTCCCGGGCCAGGCCACATGGGTGGACCAGGGAACCAGGGGCCAGGTGGACCACCAGGACGTATGGGGCCACCTGGGAACATGGAAGGGCCACCAAACCAAGGGCCACACATGAACAGAATGCCGAACAAGGGCCCGCCGCCACGGCAAATGGGCCCTCCCAATCAGGGGCCACATGGGCCACGAGGGCCCGGGAATCAGGGGCCACCTGGGCCCATGGGAGGGCCACCCAGACACATGGGACCAGGGAACCGTGGGCCACGCAACCAGGGGCCACCTGAGCAGCCACAGGTATGGGGTTTTGTTGAAATCACGTGTTTCGTTTCAAAGTTAGTGATGTTTTTAAGCCTAAGTTTGTGTGATACCTTATGAGCTGTACTTTTTATGTTTTAATAACATCACATCTCTCTCTTTCTCTCTCTTTGGCATCACATCAGGAGGCAGAATATTGTGTAAGTAGTGTAATTTTGCCTGCTTTCTAAAGACATGTCATTCCTTGTCCCTACAGATGAGTGACTCCCCACATGGAGACGGTACCAGCCACCCAGTGTCGGCCCCCCGCGGCCTGCCTAACACTGGTCCTGGACTCCTGGGCGCTCCACCAATGCCTTCAATGATGGGGATGGACGCAGACAAACAGACCCAGGGAACAGACAGGTGTGCAGAATTATCAAACTCGACACTCTAACCAGCCTGGGTGCCTTCCCATCTGGATAATCTATACTCACTAGCTTGTGTTACACAATCGCTAACTATCAGTGGCTGATTGGGTCTCCTGTCCAAGAGCTTGTCACCATATCCCTCAAACTCATGAGAACCTTTCCTAGAGCTACCGACAGCAGGTTAGAATTCTTTATTGGTATTAAAATCAGTGCAGTAGGAGGTCAGAAGTATCTCTCACTTTATTAAGCAACCAGGCATCACAGTCTCCACACTGGTTACTGTTTCGAGTACACTATTGTGAACTTTATACATGTCATGTCTCTGAAAAGGTATTTAGAATAAAGACAATTCAAACCTTTAGGTGTTTAAAAAATTTATTTATTTCTTTGCCCAGGTTTGAAGGCCCTCCCCACCACCACAGGAGTGAGGAGGAGGAGTTTTATGACCAGAGTTATGAGGAGTTTCCCGGACAGGAGCGCCCGCCTTTCGATCCCCGCGGCCCACCCAGGGGTCAGCAGGGTCAAAGGGGACGACCTCACCCTGACAACAGGGGGCCACCTCGTGGTCCAAGGGGCCCACCAGAGATGTCGGGGGAGCGTGGCCCACCTGAGCGAAGGGGCCCACCAGGGGAAATGCAGGGAGAGTTTCAGGGGCGACCCGACCAAAGTGGCCCCCCTGAGGAGTTCAGGAGCCAGGGCAGGCCGATGCAGGACCCACGTGGCCCTCCTGGTGACAGAGACAACCGCGGTGGGCCCCCACGCTGGTCTGAAGGTCGCAGGGGGGCCCCTGGTGATCACAGAGCACAGAGGGGTGACGGTGAGAGAGGCCCTCCACGGGGTAATATGGAACAGCGTGGGCCACCCAGGGGGGAACGAGAGCAGCGTGGGCCCCCGAGGGGAGACATGGACCAGGGAGGGCCAAACAGAGGCAATGCAGACCAGAGAGGGCCACCTGGAAGGCACGAAGAGGAGCACAGAGGGCCACCCGGGGGTTTTAGAGGTCCAGAATTCAGGGATGACCACAGAAGAGAGGACTTCCGAGGACAAGGAGAGGAGTTCCATGAACCCCCACAAGGCCCTCGTGAGGGGTGGGGAGAGCAGGAGCCCTGGCACGACGACCACAGGGGGCCCCCTCAGGACAGGAGGGGTCATAGTGCAGAGTTCAGAGATCACAGGGAGGGGTCATGGGAGGAGCAGGACCACAGACGAGGTCGGGGAAGGCAGAACGAGCGAGGCCGCGGGTTTAGGGCGGAGGGGAGAGATGAAAGCCCGCCAGTCACTTCTGAAGAATTCCACGAACACGAGAGATTCGGAGACGGAGGGGAATACAGAAGGAGGGAGGATCAGCGAGGAAGTTTTCGAGGGGGTAGGGGAGGTGGGAGGGCCGGTCCGCCCGAGCAGGGTCCAGGGGAGAGGAAAGAAGGGCTCCTCCCGACTCCCCCACCCATGGGCAGGGGGCAGGGAATGGCCAGGGGAAGGGGAGGGGGGCCGATGCACTCACCGCGACAGGAAGGCAGAGGGTTTGAGGGCCCGGAGCGTGAACGTCGGGGATCGCATGAGGAGATGAGGTCACCAAGTGGACGGGAAGAGCGGTCGTCGCTACACGAGATGGATGTGGCAAGACTGCCACCTAGGAAAAGACCTTGGAGAGATGAGACTCAGGTGAGCTACACTAGTATCAATACTAACAGTCAGTACAGTTCAGAAAACAGTTCAAATTTTCCCAAAACACTTAAAATGTGATGTAAAATTTCATTGTTAGTTACAGGTGAGCAGTGCTTGAGAAACTTGAATTCCAAATTTGAACTGATTATGGACATTTTTGATTGGTGTTTGTCTTACAATTTTTGATGGGGGTTTGTCTACATTTTTTGAGGGAATGCGCATTGGTACAAAAGTTACATATGTCTATTGAAGTGTGTTCCGTATTGGAAGTAGTTCAGTACTAGTATTAATTCAGCTTTTCCGACAATAACCTTGTACTTGTTCCCCACCTAGGAGCAGCCTGAGCTGGAGGGCATGGGACCTCCCCCTGGGGGTAGGGGAGGACGACCCCAGGGCAGGGGAGCCAAG